ATTTTAGCAAAGCTTATATTTTAATGCTTATATTTGAGTTTTGCAGTGTATAATGGAATAAGTCCAGTTAAATCTTTGGTTTTAGTATTTCTAAAGGATACAGTGAGAGGTTAATTTATGCTCAAGTGGTACCACTTAAAGGCATGTATTCTTTTAGTATGTAAAATGAAATAGTACCTTGAGTTTAAATGGAATGCATTTAAGCATTATAGAGACCTGAAGTAATTTTTTCCACTACATTACTGAAATCATTGGAGCAACTAGTTTCTCATTCAGAAATGTGCACACTAATATTTAGTTTTACTTCATTGTGTGGATAATGTTAAGCACTAATCTGCAGTTTTCTGAAAGTTGTCAGCTGCAGTGATAACTTGAAGATGATGGGATATCTGAAAAAAATATATATGTGTGGGCTTGTGTAGGTTATTATGTTTCATAATCTGTTTTGCGGTGCTCATGATGTGTGGGATGCACGGAAGGCATTGCTGTAGTCAGTCATTTCCTGTGTAGCCATTTTATCGTTTTAGTGTATTGGTTATAAAGATACTATTATCTGTTTGTAAATTGCTACTTTGTATTTTATGCATGCTTTGTAACTTGATTTTTGTTTTGTTTTGTTTTTTTAGTTGTTGATTTGGAATATATTCTCATTCTAATAAACAGTTATAGGGGGTCTGTTCTTTATGTTGTCAGATTACATTTTTCTTTGGAGTGCTTTGAATACAGCCCTGGAATACTTGATTCTAATGAATAAGCACATAGGTGCTTGCATTATCAAGTCAGCATTGAATTGGGGCATCAGTCTGAATTCAGGTGTGATGTTAGACCTGCAGTTCAATTATGTTTTTCTTGGGAGAAGTATTAACAAACATTGGGGAAATAGTCTCTGTACTTCCTTATGTAACAGTGTCACCAGACACAGGCAAAGTCTCCATCTCTGTGTTATTTGAAATTGAGAGTAAGTTTTTTTTAGATTTTGCTGCTTGATCCTGCTTTTCAGTTATCATAACGTTGAACATTCTTTTAACCTGTTATATTCTCCTGAAAAAGTCATTTAGCCATTGTACCTTGATTTAAACTTACATCATTGTTCTCAAGGGCTCTCTAATATTTGCCACTGTGTAAGGGTAAGTTATCATTAGACATTTCATTGAGTGTGCTAAAAGTGTAATTGTAAGAAGAGGTGGCAGCCAGTGTCTTTTGCCAGAGATCTTTTCAGTTCTGAGGGGTTCTACAGAAAAGTTAGATTTTTTTTTTTTAAGAGAGTAGGCACATCAGAGCTAATTTTATTTTTGTTGTTGGGAAAATGAACGTCTTAGTTTTTGTCTTTGCTGACTTACAAAATAGAAATACTTTCAATGGTTTAAACTATTAGAACAGTCTCTTTCATCTACCTTAAAGAAAAAAGCTGTACTATTTAGACATTTTTGGCCAACACCCCCACCACACACACACACAAGAACTCAAAGACTGAAGGAAGAATTTAAGAATTTAATCCAACCTGTTAGGTTTCAACTTAATGGTTCTTTAAGTTTTTAAATTATTTTAACAGAGGAAAATAATAGAAATTGATTGATTATCTCATGGCTTACACATATCATAAGCCTGAAAAAAATTCAAGACAAAATGTGAATTTTTTTTTAGGATTGTATATGATCTCCATTTGTGTGTTTTTAAAAAAATGATCAAAGACTGTGAAAGGACCCTCTTCTACTGCGTCATTTACTGGGTTAACAACACAAGGAGCTGTGACACTCATGCTAGAGAGGAGAGCTGTGAGTTTTCTGGTCGGGCAGTGCTGGTGCCCGTTCACTTTCTAGAATTAGACAGGTCTGCTTGCCTGTTGCCTGTACGATATGCCAGAGAAACTGGAGTTGTCATTCTAATGTTTTAAACTATGACTGTGTTCTTCCAAAATTTCAGGAGGCTGATTCTAACAATGAATGATACAAAGCTAATATCATTTCTTCTTATATATAAGGAGATGATTAGGGTAAGAGTATCCATTTTCTTGGAAATTGAGTTGGGAAAAAATATTTGAAATATATTTGCATAATATATACATTTGATGCATATATTAGAAAACATGCTAACCTATTTGGCTTAAACATTGAAAATTGTAGATTTATTTATCTAGGGTTTTTGAGACAATGTCTCACTGTGTAGTTCAGGCTGGTCTTGAACTCACTGTATCACAGGCAGGCCTTGAACTTTCAGTGATCTTCCTGCCTCAGCCTTTCAAGTGCTGGGATTATCAGGTGTGTACCACCATGCCTGACAGTGGTAGCTTTAATATAGAACTAGACTGGGTGACAAGAGACAGGTTCTAGTCACAGCTCTGTACTCATTCTAACGGATTTAAATTTAATGGATAAGTAAAAATCAAGTATATATTGTGCAAAATGTTTTTGGTCTTATCACAACTTGATTAAAATGTTATTTCTTTGTTAATGCCGTTGAATAAGAGGAAAGTTTTCAGAACATTTGCAAATAACTGTTAGTTTTCCTGGTGTGCAACAGAGTAACCATATATGCTAAGGGGGAGGAGCATTTGATGGATTGCTGTGGACTATAAATTGAGAACTGCTTATTTTCTGCTGTTTAAAAAATTCTGCTGACTTTGTACTTTAAAATATATTCATGTCTCCTTTTACCCCTCCTCCCCAAAAATATATATATATATACATGTCTGCACAAGAACTTTTAAAAACATTTTTGTATTTAAGTTTTTTAAAAATGATCTCTTTAATAGAAATATACAAGAAAGTATATCAACCTGCAGAACTAGCTATCCAACAGAACCAGTGATTAAATCCAAGTGTATAGATTTGTGTTTACGCACATGATGTGGCATTTTTTGGCTGTTGATGTAAGCTAATTCATAGTTTAAGCGCTTCTTGAATTTAGTTCTTGAACATTTATTAAACAGGGTTGATAATTTTTGACACAGATACAAACGTAAAATGTCCTGTGTATTGGCTGTTAACCAGTCTTACTAGCACTAGCCATGGCAGTGAAAATTGGTACCCAACAGCATTCCTTTCCTGTGTTTTGAGTCTGTGTAATTTAACCTTGCCTCAAACCACAGAATCTGAGATCCTCTTACCCCCATCCCACTGAAATACTGCTTTTAGCACCTATTGCCCTCCTCACAACCTGTCATCTTTCAGCATACCTTTTTCTCACATATCTCTAGGAAGGTGGTATGGTCCCTCATCAAGTCTTTAAGAAGTTGTTGACCACTGGACTGGCCTCTGTGTCAGCCTTCCATCATGTGGACCCAAGAATATTACAGAACATATATGCCTGACATGGGACAGTTTGGGAAGCCCCCAGGACAGGAGCAACACTATTTCTGTGTTAAACCAATTCTGGAGGAGGTCTTAAGGATCCTCAGTTAACTAGTTTGGGTTGACATAAAGTGAATGCCTAAATAACAGTGCTTTGAAAGATCTCAGGTTCATATACTTAAGGCTCTAATAGGGCAAGACAGTGGCTTAGGAGGTAGAGGCTAGATAAGAAGGAACTCTGACACAGAAGTTGTAGGCCGGGGCTTCTGCCTTCTGTGGGTTTGGATTGGACCACTACTCAAGAGTCTAGAGCTCTGCAACTCCAGGGAGAAAATACATAACAGCACTCTCTTAATCATCAGAGCCCTCTATTTATCCCTACCTTTTTACAATTACCACGTTAAGCTCCTCAGGGCAGGGAATATGCTTTGTTCGTATTTCCATTCCTAATGTTATTGTCCCCCTGCAACCCTATGTGAGAACTATTAGGGGAGAACTATCTAAGAGTAAGGGGTCTGAGCCTGGGGTTCATTCTAGTATAGCTTGGGGAGCTATAGTCTGAAAATTACCCATTTGTTTTATAAATTTTTATTAAAATTTTACAGCACTACAATTGTATATACAATTCTATAAATGTTTATAATATATACAAAAGCATAAATAATAGTGTAATGAACCCCATGTATCCATCAGTCCATCCCTCTTAGGATTTTCCATCTCTCTTGCCACACTGATCAAATGGGGCTCTTCTGTCTTTCCTCTGGTCACATGAATGACTAATAGAATGTATCATTCTTGAATTTTCTTACATTGAGTGTGCAACCCACAGCTCTTGGCCTTTGGTTACCATTTATGGTGTACTGTGTAATACAGTATTCTGAGACTTGTAGGACATAATTTTAAATTATTCTGAGTAAATACTTTTTACCCTTATAGCTTGTGATTGTTTTGTTTTTTGCAAATAAATCCCCAGCCCCTGAGAGTTCCTGTTAATCTATTCTGAATGACTCTTATTCCTAATTAGGAAAATGGTATTCTTTATGGTTAAACATAGTGCTAAACTGAGGTAACTTTTGAGTGTCATGTAAGCCTTAGGACTGACAGGCTGGAATGTTTGGGTTTGGCCCAAATATGAGATTTACATACATGCTTTTGAAAGCATGAGTGACAAATTTAAACTTAACTGGTTGCATTCAGTAAGCTGTTTTTACTGTATTTTATTACAAAATGATTCTTGTTGCTTTTCTATCAGTGAGGTCAGAAGGTTGTGTTTTAAAAGGTCTTAAGACAGATACAGCCAGAGCAACTGCACTAGATGGACTTCTAGTGGAAAGCTATTGTGGGATTTATGTAAATTAGGTAGTCCTTGCACTTGCCCTTGGTCCCTTCCATTGAACTACCTTTGTGCCTCTGGAGCCGAGCACAGCTGTAACAGATGTCTCAGTATACATATTTGGGAAGCAGATGTGTATGGACTTTAGAAATATTTTTGACAGGAATAAGAATATATTGGTCTCATTCACAACTTAAAGATAGAGACTCCCTTGTTAAACAACCTTTTCACTATTATTCTCAAGCATGTATTGGCATAATTTTCACTCTTCAGCTGCTTAAAGTGACCACACAAAATAATTAAACCTAAAACCCTGAAGTGTGTAGATGGTAGATGTGTTCTCAGTTTGCAATGCAACAGTAAGCATTCTTGGTCAGTTAGAGAAATTTGTTTTATTTTGTACAAGGTACAATCCCTCTGCACAGTGAACAAATATATTACAAATCTGTGATTTAAAAAAAGTATTGCCATTTCATAGTCTCTTATGCTATTATACAATTGCTTTTTTTATTCATCTGAATTGTATGCCTGTCAACTTGATTGAAAATTGTTTCCGAAAAATATCAAACAGATCTTTCCAAGTCACCAGTAAAATCTACAGTGCACATGTTTAGGCTGACCTCGGTTTGTGACAGTGCTAGACAGTAGTTTCTCACAGTTGCTCTGTAAGATTGAAATGTCTTTTACCAGTAACTCTTAGATATGTGAAGGCAGCTATTGTCACCATAGCTCATTTACATCCTTTGGCCTTCCCTTCTCTATATTGTCTGATTTGAGTTGTATTAACATTGCTTTAAAAAGTCATGGAATGCTAGAGCTGAAGGGTTGTTGGAGCTCCCTTCCACACTTTCTGCTTCTCCCTTTTTTTTTTAGGCAAGGGAAATAAAGGAGCCCAAAGAGGGCCAGTCTCTTGCCAAGAGTAACCCCAGAATCTCTTGACTCAGTCCTCTAGCCATTCCGAAGCCTCTTGCTGGATACCTTTGGCCAGAGGGTAGGTGGCAAAAGATGGGTGAAACTTGAAACTCGAGTGATGCTCCTTTTTGCAGCTGGCCAGGTAGCAATTACTGTGCATGCAGGGTAAGAGAAGAAGATAAAACCTGGGATTGAGATGAAGTTTCTCTTTGCTAATCTGACTTCACCATGCTTCTTCCTCCTTGCTTCACAAAGACAATTGACCACTTGCAGCCCTGAAATAACTGAGGTAAGTCTCTTATCTCTATTTCTTTCTACATATATATGAGAAGTATTTATTTGGGCCTACAAAGTAATTTTCTAGTATTTATATTTTAATAAGGCTTTTTTGAAAGTCAGTTTACTTTGCTGATCACTTGCTCCCATGCACACATGCAGCATTCATGTAAATATTGTATATTTTCCTCAAACACTAAAATTTGCTTATGCCTTGAGTGAAATAAGGGGGAGTGGGGCTTCCTCATTAATGTTCTTGCTTTTGGTATTGCCCAAACTAATGGATTCTGTGGCTGACTTCCAGTTTCTACCAAGGGTTTTAGAACTCTCATACTTCCCGTAGCAGTATTCCAGCTTTGCAGTCATTTAGTTCCTCTTCTTTATACCGTTTTTAGAAGTGTTTTTAACTGGCTGAACTATGACCAGAATGCAGTGGCACCAGCGTGGCCGTTAGCTTCCATGGTTTGCTATTTTAATTCTTGTGAAGAGGTCCTCTGTAGGGCTTAGGAGTTGGCTCCTTTGGCATTGTCCAAGCCTCATTTTCATATGTTCATTAGTAATGGAAGGTATAGGCCATCTGAACACTGAGATCTGGAGCGTTAGCTTATTGGAATATATATTTGGCCATCTTGGAATGTGGTGGTTTTAAGCACTGCATATCCTCTTGTGCTGTTTACTATGAAGTCTTTATACCAATTTACAGCAACTGGTTACAGTCCATTCTTTTTTTTTTTTTTTTTTTTTGGTACCGGAGATCGAACTCGGGTCCTTGCGCTTGGGAGGCAGGCGGCAGAATCACTGAGCTAAATCCCCAGCCCAATTCTTTCTTTGATCATTGGTGTCATTTAGTTCCATCAAAAAGCGTAAGGTATGGTAAGCAACATAAACTTGTTGTATCCACATTTGTCTCACTTCCTCTATATTTTTTGGTTCCATAATACATCAAGCTCAGGATTTATAGCAAATATTTTCTGAGTCAAGGGTTCCCAACTAAATAAATTAGGCCAAATACCCAGTTTTAGAGCCAGTTTATGACTGCTTACTTAATGAAGCATCATCTCCATGCCCTATTTCTATTTCACATGGAATGACTCAGATGTCAGATAGATTAAGATCACGGCTAACTTCCATTTCCATTGTTCTTGCAATTTGAATCGGCAAAATTTGGTAAAGCTGGCCTCGAAATCAGTCTAGACTGAAAGACGCTACTGCGATTTGGAAACTTTCTTTCTTCATTTTTTGGGCCTACTATCACTTATGAGCCAGAAGAGAAAAAGTTGATTTTTATTAAAGTCTTGTATTTAAAAAATGAAGGTTGTCAGCATTACATAGACTAAATTCTGTAATCTTGGCCATTGTAATTCAGTGGACCAGGCATATAGGTACAGGTACTTTAGGACTGATATTAAAACAGTTCAAGTATGTGTACTAATTATCTTAGCAGTGAAACAGATGTTGATGGTAACACTAACCAAAAGTACATATACATTTCAGGTGCTTTAAAATAACCCAATTCCTCTCCTCAAGCCCCTTTTCCTCCTGGGAAGATTTGCTATTCTACATGCTTTTTAAGCATCGTATTTCAGAATATTAAATATATATATTTTAGCCATATTTAGCTGATGTTGATGAGAAGTGTATCTTAAATGTTTTAGAAATCATAATTCAGCATTTAGGGCTGGGGGATGGGTGGGTGATAGGATTTGCCTTGGTGTACAGACTTCTTTGAACAGTTACCCAAGTCCCACTTGGAAGTTCTTCTTTAGTTCCAGGTGAACGTAATAACTAATATGCAGCTGTAGCCAATCTGTATCATTTCAAGTCAAGGGATTGTCCTCTTCAGAGAGTCAGAAAGTATTTGGCAGAGCACACTGCAAGAGAGAAGCTTATCCCTCTTAAGATTGCTTGTCCTGGGAGAGCCCATTGGTAGGGCTTTGTCTTACTGGGAGGAGGTCATAATGACCAGGAATATCGCTGTTTCTAGGAATCTCGTATGGATTCTGGATATAGTTGTAGTTATGACCGCGGCCTTCTTGGACCACAATGACTGTGGGCTCTAAGGAATATAGTGAAAAATGAGTTCAAAGAACAGATTAGCTTTGGTTGCCTTCTTGGGAGGGAAGAGTTCTATTTGACTTGGTGGGGAGAGGAGCTGGGGTCTGTAAATCTAGACAGATAATGAGGGTTAGGCTAGAGGCTTGCTGAAGATAACGGAAAACCTAAGTGAACATACTGTTGAAATCCTGGCATCTGGTCAACCCCAAATGATTTAGGATCATAGAGGGAGTGATCTTTCTAGTGAGCCCAGGAGTGTAGTCTAAACTATGAAGAAGACGATTCAGAAATGTGTGTCAGTTCTGATTGTTTTCTTTTTTAAATTGAGATTTGTATCAATCATTTGAAGCCTGTGTACCCATTTCCCACCCTATTTCTGCTTCATATTAGTTCTTGGGTGTGTAGGGGTGTGTGTGTGTGTGTGTGTGTGTGTGTGTGTGTGTGTTAAAGCAGAGCTGGCACAACAATTTAATTTCCTGCATGGGGGGTAGGGCAGTTCTGGGAAACAGTTCACCTTGCATGCCTTAAAAAGCAACCCAAGAAGGGTGTGCTGCCAAGATAGGGTGAGTGGAGAGGGCTTGCTTTTACTTGAGCTGCTGCACTTTGCCCTAATTTCACTAAGTTTTCACTTATTGAAACACCTACCAACTTCATATATATTTTTATTAGATGTCGACAAGGATGGCACATCTGTGTACGGAGACCCCCTGTGCACAGGCGACTTCATTTCTACGTAGCTGTTCTCTGGAAGCTTGCAGGTGAGGATGGGTGGGTCCTTAATTGTGGCATAAGGGTTTTCACTGCTATTCAAGGAACAAGTACTAGAGCTGCACACGGATTCTTTCATGTAATCTGCAAAGCAAGAGAGATTTCTTAGACAACCGAGAATATAAGTCTTCATTTAAATACCAGACAGCCATCAAATTTATGTGTCTTTGGTATCCTGGGGCAGGAAAAGCCTATGATGATTGAAGATTTGTTTATTAAATGTCTCTTGAGTTGTGCTTTTCCAGGCAGGCAGAGTTCTTTTTCCAAAGAAACTTATGGTTGTGGAGGATAGGAAAATGTTTGTTTTTAGTAGATACTAATTCAAGATACTCATGCTTTCATGTATATTTAGTTTAGTTTTTGCAGATGACAGTTTTTGTTTTATGGCACGCAGGCCCAGAGAGATTGAAGTGACTTGGCTAAGGTCTCACAATTAGTGAAGATAACAGTGCCAAGAATCCATGCCTTGGGACTCCTTGGCCTGTGTTGTTTGAGGTAGGATGGGGGGCAGCACTATCTAGCCCAAGCCTCCTTCAAACTTGTGACAGACCCTCTTTGCTCAGCCTGTTCCAGGTGTGTGCCACCGTGCACAGCAGCCTGTGTCTCTTCTGATTTCAACTCAAAAGCAGGCATGTGTTTTAGGACAGATGCCAACAATTTAGCGAGTTTAGGTGGCAAACTAGCAGCATCCCTGCCTTACAGGAGCTCCTGATTAGAGTTGGGCAAAGTGAAGGCTAATGAAGGTGCAAAAAGCACTTGAGTCTCAATCCAACCTTTCGAAAGTTCTTGTTTTCTAGTAACCTTACAATGTGTCCTTGATGGTTGCTTTCTGCAGTTCTCATAAATACTGACTGAAGCAGTGTCCTCTGATACTAGAACTCATGCTGTCTCCTTCAACCTCTCAGTTGCATCATCACAAGACTTCAGGATACAAAAAGATGCAAACTGGTTTCCACCTATGTAGCGAGGTCACTGTAGCTCCTGCCATGGAGGAAGACCCCACACTGTCCATTGCCCTTTTGAGGAAGCTGCTTGCCTCCTGCAGATCGTCCCAAGGAGGCAGGACTTCCTGGAAGAGGCAGCAGACTGTTAGCTCTTACCCTCATCCGCACAGCTCTGGCAAAGTCTAGCAACACTGAGTCTTGTTGGGACTTGAGAGTCAGGGCAGATCTGAGAGGATGGCCAGCTCTCCATTTCTGTGACACTGAAATTCACTAGAACCATCACAGTTGCATTGTGCCCCCCCCCATTTACCTTCTGTCCCCAACTTGTGAGATTAATGAAAGTTTTAAATCAAAAGTGACATAACTCAAGGGATAGTGAGATGTGCCATGGACTGAGAACAGAGTCCTGCGTGTGGCCGAAGAAGCTTAGCTGTATGCCACCACAAGCAGGCTTTCCTCCCATAACAGCTCAGTGGTTGGGAGGGAATTTGTTAGTGTAGGAATCCGTTGTTTGTTTTAGCAGGTTGACATTTCCTCAGTCTTCTAGGAAAGTACTTGAACCCATTAGTTCTTCAAGCTTTCCAGTGCTCTGTGACAAAGGCAGAGCAGTAATTATTCCCCTCTCCCTGTTATCACTTACAAGGAAATGAGACTTTAGTAGGCATTGACTTCCCCAAAGTCACCCTGCTTATCAGTAGCAGGTCAAGCTCTAGAACCAGACAGTTTTCAATTAGAGCTTAGCCCACAAGTAGGGAAGCAGGCTGGCTTTGGTGTGGTCTCTTATTGTGACCCTGACAGCCTATGACCCTGGAGAGGAAAAGGAGAAAACATTCTTGCCTGACAGTGAGCAGGTTTAGGCAGTTCCAGCAAGGACTAAAGGGAGGCTGCAGGCTCTGGCTTATCTGCCCCAGCCTACATAAAACTGCCCCTTGGGAGTGGTGGTAATGTCAGGAACCCCGGGGTGGTCCATCTGTCCCAGTTTGGGTTCTCTGAACTCATCAGGCAAGGAGTAAGGCAAAATAGCTCAGGGCTTCTTGTTTGGATGCTGAGTATTGCTTACGGACAGGCTAGCGCAGCTGGCTTGGTTGCATACTTTCTAAAATTTGAGAACAGCAATAGCATGCTTTATATAGTGCTTAATATTAGACTTCATTCCATTTAGGTCATTTGAAGGTTGTTATATCTGTGAAGAGGCCTGGATGGAAGGAATGCTTTATTACTTCAGAAGTATGGAAACTAAAACGGGGGAGGGGGAAGTTGGGGGATTAGTATGTTGCTAAGTGGTTCACTTAGGACTCAGTCCGGGCCTTCTTTGATACCCAATCAAGATGCTTCTCTGTCAGGACATGTTGCTACTAGAACTCAGGTCCTTGTATCAAAATGCAGGTGCTGCACTCTACCCTCAATAAAGATACCTGTTACGGTGGGGCCACGTCCTACTGAGAAGAGGCCCAGTGTCAGGCTTCTGGTGGGTATCCCATGCCCAAGTTCTGCTAGTGGAAGAGCTTTTATTGAAGCTGTAGCTTAATGCCTAAAAGTGCCTCAGCCAGTACCTCTTCCCATTTTCACCAGAAAGTCGGGGCTGCTTTCAGGGTTTGGGGAATACTGTAAATTGTTAAACTCTGGAGCAGTAGATGCACCTAAGTGGGTAAGAGACTTTGAGGTTGGGAGGAAGGGCAGGTAAAAGTATCTTCGGTACAAGGGCCAGAGGCAGAGACAAGGATGGAGAAATCTGTAGTTTGTTGGGTGGCCTGGTGGCTGGGGAGGACATTGAATTGACCTGCTTCTGCTGGGAATGGGAGGGAAGGGCAAGGCCGGCTGGCAAACTCCACCGCGGGCTGCCCTCTCCGGTCTGGCTGAGTCATACACCTGCCTGCAAGGAGGGAAGGTGGGGAGAAGGGAAGAAAAACCAGCTGCTCTTACTTCCTCCTCCTTACATAGCCCCACCCTGCCCAGTCTCTGCCCTTCAGGGCATTTTGCAAATAAAGAGGAAGCTTCAGCTCAGGGCTACCCAAGCTCTGGGGAGTCACTCCTCCTGAGCTTGTAATTAGTATCAAGATTGAAGGGTGAGTCTTATGAATGCCCTGGCATTTGCTCTCATTAATCCTACCTCCTCCAAAGTACTGGTAGTCACATACAAGAGACAGAGGGGTTTCTGAAATGAACTAAACATCTTCATTTTACAAGGAAGCACAAACCTAGAGGAAATGGCTTTCTAAAGCCACCTTGTGAGTGGCATCTGACATCCACTTAAGGCCCAACTTAAATGTGAGACAAAATCCAGGCACCAATGCTATTTGGCTAATGCTTTTTTTTTTTTTTTTTTTTTTTTTTTTTTAGACGGCATACGAGATCCTGGTAGGTGACTGGAGTTCAGACGTGTGCTCTTCCGATCCATTGACTTCCCATCTCTGAGTGTCCTTAATTTTTTTTTTTTTTTTTTTTTTTTTTTTTTTTTTAAACCAGGGCCTTCCTCAGCCTCCCATACTGCTTGGATTGTAGGCCTTTTACCACAAAGCCCCTAGGTCTAATAATGAATAGGAGCCACACTGATTTTTCTTTTCCTGGGCAATAAATTAACATCCTTCTCTTAACTGAGAGAAAGGGAAGGGATGGTCTCGGGGTCAGAAGGAGAACACTGGCTGCCAAAGGAGTTTCAAAAGTCAGTGGACTCCTAATTACCTAAGAACCCATGGTTATTTCATGGGGAGACTTGGGGCTTGGATGGCAAAGGAGCATACAGGTGGGGAAAGTGGCAGCAGTAGTGGGCTCCAGGATTCCATGATCAAAAGGTGAATGGCGAGTGGCTGGGAGGATTTCCTCTGTGGCACTTGAAAATGTCTGACAGACAAGGGACTGCACACGAGGCAGTTCACTGCTGAATCCTGTGCTGAAGGTGAGGCAGAACGGCCTCCAGGATGGCAGTGAGTGGAGTTCACCAGTCAGTAGGAGGAGAAAGAGTGGGTGTTGACTGAATTAAGACTCTGGGAGTGCCAGGGCTGGGAAGCACCTTACCTTAGAGGGTGCTGGCCTAACTCCATCCTTCTAAAGAGGAGGAAGCCACTGCCCAGGACAGTGGCATGATCTAGTGAATAAGAACCACAGCCCAGTGCTCTCTTAGTTCCCAGCAAGGGCTCTTCCCAGTGAGTTCAGAGCATACTTCAGAATCTAACTTTTGGCAGTTCTGATTTGCTTTGATCCTGTGGTTTTTAGAAGATAATTTGTGGTACAAACTAAATGTTTATTGGGGATTTAGCCAATAGGTGGGATTTGTTCCATGTCTTTTGTACGTATTTCTATCAAGTTCTGAACTGTTATATTTCATTTTTCTCTTTGACTTTTGCTCTGATGTGCTGGTCCCCAGCACCTGCTGGCACATTTGCCTACACAGTACTTTTTTGTCTCTGAGTTAAAGGAGGATTACTGTCAGTGTGGTGAAATGAAATTGGGCTGCCCACCTGCTAGGGCCTTTCTTGCTCAGAGGCTCAGATGTATGATCCCATAAAACAGGAATGAAATGATGCCAAGGTGGAGACTCTGCTTTCCTTAGCGTTTACATTTATGGTTTCGATTCTAAATGTAGCTACCCTAATCACAATGCAGAGGATGACAGAGTGCATGGAAAGTTGTCTGGGCCTGCCTGGGCTTACTCATGCATGAGTCATGCGTCTTCTCAGAGCTGGAAAGGCCCTTGGAGATCTTTCTGCCCAGTCCCCAACTTGTTTGTGAAAGAAACTGAAGTCAGATGAAATGGTAGAGCTGCCCTTTCAGTTTTCAGCCTCAACTACTAAAAGGGTGCTTGCGTGCATCTGGATGGTTTAAATCAAAAGAGAAAATTGTCAGAATCTAGCTTCCAAAGAGTACCATCTATTGGTCGGCTTGGAGTCTGGGTGTGACCTCTTGTTCTCAGGCTGTTCTTTTGGGCGTTGCATCGCCTAACCAATTCTGATATCAGATCCTGCATCCTTACTGCTGTCTTGCTCTGAACAGGTTACTTGCCACTTGCCCCTTCCTGTCCTCACTTCTAATCATCTCCCCAAGGGCTGTTGACAGCTAGTTTGAGGGGATAGTTATGTCTTGAGCGTATCTAAGGCTGGGTCTGAAAGATCAGAACAGTAACTTCTGAGTGTGGGTCATTCTAGACCAGTGGTTTCTAAATGATACTTAGACACCAAGCTGCATAAGGGTTTCCTGAGATCCTCATCACAAATGGCAGGTTGTAGGGCTCTCCTCTCTATGTACTGTGTCAAAGTCTCAGAGACGTTTAAACAAACTTTCCAGGTGATTCTGGTGCACAACTAGATTTAGCATGTTCGTTGAGATGTATCTTTGTTTGGCTGAAGCACTTTTAAATAGACCCAGAGACCAAAGGATATGCCCATTATATCAGTACAACCTTTATAACATGCAAAACACTTCCTATCTGTGGTTTTATTGGATACTCATAATAGCCTTATTAGACAATAGGACAGGCATAATTATCCCAGCCTTGCAGATGGAAGTGAGCCCTGGTGAGCTCACAGTCTAAGGTCACAGTTAATAAGTGCCAGAGATTCAAACCCCTCTGTTTCACAGATCTGACATTTAAACCTAGGCCCTAATCCAGAGCCAGGACTTGATTGTTCACTTTTGGCATCACCTGTAGGCAGTTTCTGTGTGTTAGAGATTTGTCCTGGCTTCTCTGCTCTCGGGGCAAAGATCTCTGGAGGGTGCAATCCCAGTCAGTATTAACACTGGGTATCATTTTCATTCCTTGTGCCCCAGAAAGGCAGCAGATGTGGGTGGCATTCCTCGTCAGCACAACAACAGGAGGCCTCTGAGGCAGGTAGATTGACTTTATTTCAGATTTTATAATCAATTTAACTTGTACTAATTGGTTAGATAACAGCGCTCTACATTTCCAAAGACATTGAGTTGGCATCTATTAAAAAAAAAAAAACAACCCACAAGCATTTGCTAGGCAGGTGCAACTGAAATTGGAAGATGAATTCATGATCATGATTGCTCCTTCCGGGCAGATCTTACCCAGCAGCCACCCTGGTCCTGTAGTCTTTTTTTTTTTTTTTTCCTCAGAGGCCGTGGAATATAGGGTTTCTTGGGTGAGCTTCCTGGCCACTTCAAATTTTACTCTTTCTCTTGCTAGGCCCTTTGTAATAGGATGTCAGGATTGGATACTCTACCTTTGAAGTCTTTGTCCATAATGTATGTGTTCTGACGTCTATCCATTCCACAAGCACCTGGATAAAAATAATAGGAAAGAAAGTAGGGGGCATGAGGTTTACTTAGACTCCTGTGGGTTTTGTTTTGTTTTTTTCCTTCTATTTAGGAAATAGTTTATTCTGAGTTTATCCTAAGTCATGTTGAGCGACAGGAGTTCATAAAAGGCTCATAGCATCAAGGGGCCCTGTTACAGCACTCTCCAGACCTATTCAGCCTTCCCTTTTACCTTCACCCTAGGGACAAGCCTTTCAGGAATCATAAAAGACCTCCTAGGTGCCACCTGCAGCTACTGTAGGTAAAGTCCTATCCCTTGATACATAACACTCTGAATCTCCATTCTGTTGGATTTAAATGGGAGGGAGGTAGAGACAATTTCTCACCTCTCACCTCTGGCCCTGCCTCTCCTCCCCTGGAACCAAGGCTCAGCTGAGGGGAGCCAGAGAGGGTGGACAGGTGGCTGGGGTCCTTGTGTCATCTTTACAGGAAGAACATCCTTTCATATCAACAGACTTGTTTTAGGAAGACGGATTATTTGTGCAGAATTGAGACTTGTCTTTGAAAAGCATTACCAAGGTTTTTCAGCCCCGAGGATTTCTTTATCCCTTTTGCTATCACAGTTTTTTTCCTAGGCTCTCACAATGCATGGTCCTGAGCCCTATCCAGAGGCAAGATACAAAGCTTCAAGGACTAAGCTTGAGTTCTTTGCTACAAGCAATCCCAGAAAAGAAACTTCCTGGCATTTCTAGGTTGGAACAGTAATGGCTCTGGTTCAAAGTCAAGGCCACCTCTTTTTTTCTTAAAGCTTTAACTGAGAACATACTACCAGGCAAGGCATGCAGCAGCGCTTCCTAAGGTACAGTTTGATTCCACTCCATTTCAGACACTGAGCACCAACTCACTGCTATGGGTTTTTTTTCGTTTTGTGGTACTGGGGATCAAACTCAGGACCTTGTGCTTACAAGGCAAGCATGGCGCCACTGAACTAAATCCCTGGCCCCACTGCTTAGAGCCCTCCTCCAGAGGTCCCCAAGTGAATTTGTGGAGGTTCACTCCTGTGGCTGCTTTCTACACACTACTGGCTGTTAGCCGAACAGCTCAAGTTTCTCCAGTTGCCTGATGGTCTAGAGGGCCCTTCAGAAACAACATGCAACAGTGTGTGCTGGATCAGTTTAACACTGTACATCAAACAGTGGCTTCCTTTGCTGTCCCTAGAGGTTGGCTAAGCTGTTAACTCTTTCCTTTTCATAGAACAGGAATGGGCCCAGAGAGTAGCAGAGACTTATTCAAGACACACCAGGAAGTGAGAGGTTAGGGCCCAACTAGAGCCTACATCTCCCCCCAAGAATTGGGTCCCTTTGGCCACTAGGCTGCCTATGTGTCAGCTACCAGAGTACTGTGTGTGGTGCTCCTGCTTCGTGGGGTGGAGAGAAGATCTGGAAAGCAGAGAGGAGTTGGGGCGGAGCACAGGATGTTCCCATGTGAAAAGCAGTATGAGGTGTTGCTGGGCAGGGAGCGGGGGTTTAATTGGTGGGACTATTAAATCCCCTGACCATGTCAGAGGGGACCCACGGCCAAAAACACAGCTCTCTGGATATGGGCACAGGGTCTTTGCTGCCCATACCTGCTCGACAGGTAGATGAATTCAGAATCTTTACTCTTCCTAGTGCTGCTGGACCCAGGAACCTGTAAAGATTGGTTGAGCTGCTGTTTCCTTTGAGCTATAGAAGCCAGCTGGAGCCTGAGCTCAGGCCCAGACTTGTCCAGTGCCCTAGGCCTGGCCCCTGGGTGTCTGTAGGGAGGCCACATTCTCAGTTCATTCACAGCACTCATTCCTTCAGCTCCTCCTCTGTAACTCCTACCTCCTGCCAAGTGTCCTTTTCACACCTCTCCCAAGCCACCAGGTGAGGTAGATGCCGAGTGGTAGTCCTGCCCCAGCTTCTCCTGATCTCTGCTTGAGAACCCTACTTGGTGATCTGGGAGAGCTTGGGTGGGTCTGGGGTCTCTCTGGGGGACATTGGGCTTTTTGGCTAGAAAGCCCACTCTCCAAAGGTACACCATTCCCCAGTTATTTCTCAATAGTTTGGGGCTGCATTTTGTGTACTGTAAGGAGTTCATTTATGTTGTGTTTCTTCACATAAAGTAACTCAGTTTGTCCACACCCACTGACCGCAGAGAGTGATGGGAGGACTCAGACTGATTGCCTTTGCGTAGGGCATTGGGTGGGCAGATCAATCATGTTGGAGGGTTTAACATCGAGAGTTCTAGGACCATTTGGGGGCGGGGGAGGGCAGCGGGGTGCGTGCTGGGTCTGCTCTGAGGAGTGGAGGGTAGGGTAGGGGTCTGACCTGGTGAGTGTGGCTCAGCGGGGCGGCTGAGGTGTCTAAGTTCAATGTAGAAGTCCTCGGGCGGGTACCTGGCTTCCAGGGCACTGATCTGGAAATGGGAGTCTAGTGAGAGGAATGACAGGGAGGAGCCATTATTCCCAGGGCCTGGTATGGCAGGAGAAGGGGGTGGGATGTTCACGAGGGGCCAAGCGTCGGGATAGGGCAGCCTGGAAAGGATCAGGGCCTCTGGAGCAGCATACACAGGGCCCAGGTGGGCAGAACCAGCGGCCTCTGCCTTGTTTCTTCCCACCCTCCACAGCAGTTGGTCCCCAGCAGGGCAGGGACAAGAAGCCCCAGAAAGGAGCACCTCGGTAGGGCCTGGATCAGGCAGAGGTCCCTTCCCAGATGGTGAGTGTACCTTTTTCGTCCACCCAGAGTCCCCACATCCCGGCCCTGGCTATCTCCCTTGTCCCCCTGGGTCAGAGCTCCCACTCTGTTCTCACTATAGAAACGAAGGGGCTCCTGGGCTCTACTTGCTGATGAGCCAAAATAGGGGCTTGTTTCCTCCCTGCACCCCTTCGCCCTGGTGGAAACCATACTGGGGACTTGTAACCCTAACCCCCTCCCTCCAGGCTGGCCCAGGGTCCCTCAGTAGGGGAGGATGGAGTAGGGCATGATTGTGGGGGACCACTACTGACCTAACACGTTCACATAGCTGTAAGGGGTCCAGCCTCCTGTGTCTCTGTCAAGGGACTTGTTACTGAGCTGTTTGGAGAGCAGGAGAGCCAGTTAAGACCTAGTGCCCGAGGTGCCCCTCCCCAGCCATCACTTGGCCCAGCCTCAGTGTACCCACCCTCAGTGATCCTAACCTACTTAGGCCCTGGCGCACTGAGGCAAGGAGAGGGCTAAATGTCCCATGACACAGGCCACCATGTTGTGGCTGAGGCTTGGCCAAGCAGTGTTCCCAGGCCCCTTGGTGCAAAGGGACAGGAGCAGGGACCTGAATGGCAGGACAGCTGGGTGGGCTGAGCTGTAGGAGTGCATTCTGGCAGGGTCTCAGCTGTCACATAAGGCTCTGGGCAGCACAGGGAGGTGCCAAGGCTGCCTGCAGCAGTGCTACCTCTTCCACCTGATCTGAGCCCTGTGACAGTCTCCTTTGCATGTGACCACAGGAAAGCCCCAGAGCAAGTGCCTTGAGGGCTATGAATGCAGTCCTTCCTCCCCTGCATTCTCACAGTGGCTTGTGTCCTTTCCATGTCTTCATGGCTGCCTGCCTCTGCAAGGGTGACCCTGACTGCCTAGCAGACTGAGGGGCCCTGGCCCCTGGGATGAGGTGAGCCGAGCCATGTGTCACGAGGTGGGCTACTGTGCAGTAACTCTGGTCTCTGAGGGAGTGGCTGGTGTGTCCCAGTTAGACTGGGACCAAGACAAACGTGACCACAGGAGCCTTTGTCCTTCATCCTGGTCTCCTTTGCCTCTAGCCTGCTGCAGCCTGGATAATGTGGCTGTGCCCAATCAAGGTCTCCTGCTGGGAAACTTGGAAGGGCCTCCTCTCAGCTCCCTGCTCCACAAGCTGAAAACTGAACCTAGGAACAGGCCTCTGAGTGGAAGAGGCACGCAGGAAGAATAGCTAGAGCTGGTAGGCTGAGTGGGGCTGAGGGCCACAGAGTTGGCATACGGCCCGTGTGTAAGACTATAGTCTGACTGGTTCTCCTATGTCTGTGGTCCCTGGGCTGGCGGTCATATCTGGGGGGCAGCTAGGGAGGAAGGGATTCCCAAAGCTGCAGGGCAGAGGAGTAGAACATGAAAGCTCTGCTCCTGACCCAGGGTGGGTGTCACAGCAAGCCAGGAGTCTTGGGTGGCCCACTGCTGCTTGTGTGTGTGACAGGAAGTGCACCGCGTGGGCCCATCACACATCACCCTCAGGGCTGTTCTTTATTTCCCCACCCCCTACTCTGCCTGATACTGGTCTGGCTTATTAACGGCACATATTGTACACTATCCACATATATGTGCCGAGCCATCCCTACCCACAGGCCTGTGGCTGAGCAAGCCTGGCTGTGCTGGGAGCTGTCCCTGTTTATGGGAATGCTGGCTGTGGCTGAGTTTTAAGTTCCTTGTCCCTTGTATTGGATCACATGGTTGTGTATTCATATGTGTAATGTCCAAGTTTGAGACAGTGGTTACCGAGTGTTGGTAGTTAATCTAGTGTACAGGTTGCACACCTCATGCTAACATGACTACAATGACTTGAGGCAGGGGGTATAGTGTTTTGATTGCACATGTTGACATGTGGCAGTAGTGACCACATGGTATACCTGGTTATGTGTGACAAGAAGTCTTCCCCTGAAGATCACCAGCTGGTTACACACCCGTGCAGGGGTATGTTCCATCGAGCGGTGCTGTGGGCTGGTTACATGTGATGCCTACCAGTTACACGGCACTTGTTGGCTGCACATAACATGCTTTCTTACTGTTAAGTGTACACATGTACCGTGAACCACCAGGCTGTTCTTAATGTACTGGTTCCCCTGGGACCCTGCATGTGGGGAGGGGGCTGCAGTTCCTTCCTGGGTGGAGCAGAGGGTTACAGGAGAGGACGATGGATAGGGGCTAGGGAATCGGGCCCGGTACCTTGGTGGGGCTGTTCCTGTCCAGAGTGCTGGCCTGGCTGGTAGCAGGCCCCCCGCACGCCAGTGTGTGGTAGCTGGAATTGGAAAAGCACTGGGCGTGGCTGCTACTTTGAGACAAATCTGGGAAGAGAACAAGGTGCCATATTCCATCATCCACCAGCTCCTGGCCTAGATATCCCCGAAGCTAATGCATGGGCCAGGCAGCCTTGAGGGGATCCTGCAGAGAGGCAGCCAAGTCCCCCTCCCCAGTTTCCTGGCGTCTGCTCCCCCTGCAGGAATTTGGAGAGCCAGCTTTGCCCCTTGCCAGCTGCCAGCCCTCCCTGCAGCCTGAAAATGCCCAGTGTAGAGGGTGTCAGGAATGTTACTGTACAGGGCTGAACCTCCCTTATTCCCCCAAGGGTCAGACCCAGTAAGAGTCCATAAAGACAGCCCCACTCCTGTGGGCCCCTGTCCTTCCCTTCCGCTTCCTGGGTGCCAGGGAATACCAGAGGATTGGCATGGGAACCCCAGCCAGCCTTGCTCGCTGTAGACACAGAAGAAAATCCCTGAATCTGAGGACCCGGTTTTCATCAGAGGACACTGGCTTTGCCTAAAACCTAGGGGCCACACAGGCCAGGAGCCCTTTGCACGCAAGGTCTGCACATGGGCCACCTGGAGCTGGCCTGCAGCAGGATGCACTTAGGGATGGCTAAGGCAGTCAGCTAAGCACAAGGCACAGGAGGCTGTAGGTCCCAGCGAGCCCACTGCTGGGAGCTGCCCATCCAGCACCCAGCCCATCAGAGCCCAGGAGGATGGGAAATTTCAAAGTACTTTGGCTTCTGGTTTAGTCGAGTATAATGCAAAGAAGCCTTATCTCCAAGTTGGCAGTCTGGGTTCAGGGGAGGAGGGGTCTGGCCCAGGAGCCACCCCCCTACCCCACCCAGACTCGCAGACAGAATGCCCGCTGGAGTAGCCGCTACATCTGTCTAGAGTGGGTTCCAGTACACATGCCAGGACCTCTCCCATGTCAGGCCCCACCCTCTTCCTGTACTAGGAGGGTTCTCCTATCTGGGGGGGCTGGCCTGAGGCCTTCTCCAGAAAAGTGAAGGGGCCCTAGAGGGAGATGTTCTGTGAAGCACTCTAAGGAGGGATGGGCTCTAGAACCCCAGGGACCTTTCCCAGTAAGTTCCTGCTTCCAACCCCCACTGGCTCTCTGGGGTGACCACACCCAGCCACTGACCCTGTACTGTCCCCAAGAATACCATGTGCTCCTCCTGGGCTGCATGGCTGAGGCAGAAGTGGGAAGCCGGGACAGAGCGCTCACCTGAGAGGGAGTAGTCAGTGCTGGTCATCCGCATGGCAGGGGTGTAGGAGACACGGGGAGCCAGGTCTCGGCCTTTCTCTTTCTGTCGGCGCCGGCGCCAGGCGAACAGGCCCAGCAGAACCACCATAAGGAACAGCAGAAGGACGATGCCCGTGACAGCGCCTACTGAGTGCCGCTCTGCACCCAGGGCTGGGCTGATCTTGGTGTAGGGGTTCAGCTCCTCCATCATGAGGGCAGCTGTGGACGGAGGGAGGGAGGAGGCAGGGCCTGAGCCTGACCCAGGCCACTCCCTCTTCAAATCACCTGGGCCTGGCTCAGGCTCCTCCAGCCAGCCCCTCCCTTGCCAGTGTTAGTGTTAGTTGGGAGACCTGGTTCTGGTCTTGGCCCTGTTCTTCAATCTGTTTTACCCCAACCCTCACCCTGTCTGTTTCTTCAACTTTCTAAAAGGCTGGAGTTCCAGGTCATGATGAGAACAAGTGTGGCTGTGTATGTGAAATAAAGTTTGAGTCCTTCACTGAATCTTTGTGACAGCCCTAGGAAAAGGGGACTGTTTCCCTTGCTGCTGATGAAAATGCAGTCACAAGGTTAGGGAATGTGCCTAAGATCACACAGTCAGTAATTGGCAAGCAGGAAAACCATGCCAACACCTCTCCCTACTCACCAGTGGTGTGACCTGGAGAGCCTCAGTTTACCTGTGTGTAACACGGACAACTCCCACCTCCCTCAGGTTGTGAGCACCCAGTGGCAAACTGGCAATGAAAGCTGGGAGTGGAGCTGGGTGTGGTAGCACATGCCTGTGATCCCAGCACTCTGGGAAGCTGAGGCAGGAGGATTGCAAATTAGAGCTCAGCCTGGGCCAAAAAAAAAAAAAAAAAAAGCCTCAGATGTAGCTCAGTGCAAAGGTCCTAGGCTCATCCCTAGTGTAAATAAATGAAAGCTGGGGGTGCTTTGCCTTTGAGCCCAAGATTACTCCCCACAAGGCACCTTTTGATTACATATGTGTAGGACTCCCCCTCTGCTGATACGCAGTCCAGGGGGCTGTCCTGCTAGCCCAGCAGCATCTCTGCCTCAGGTGCTGCTAAACACAGCTGCCCAACAGTACCAGGGAGATACATGTGCTGTGTTCCTATTCTCAGACCACAGAGGAGATGGTTTGGGGCTCCTGTTCTGTGATGTGGGTAACTGAGAGCCCATTTCCTTCCCCCCAGCTCCTAGCACCAACAATACTCCCTTTCAGGTTTCCAGAACTTTAAAGAGAAAGCGGCAGTTTCTGGAGTGCACACCTATGCCAGGGGCTATGCTATGTCCTTCACTCAGTATCTAAACGTGGTCCCCCGGCCTCCTCCCTTAGGTGTCTGCCTGCAGAGCCAGGGCCAGAATGGAGCCACTTTGGGCTCCTTGGCCTTCCGAGGAAGCTCATGTCCTGGGGGAAGACCAGGATTGATCTTTTCCTACTTTGCATGAAGCATAACAGGCTGGCAAAAAGAAAGGACCCCAAGGGCTTGTCACAGCTCACAGCAGAACTAGAACTTGGCAGGTCATCTCGACTTGGTCCACTGGCTTCCCACAGCAGGCGCTGTGAGTGCCCTTGCCAGGCTTACAGGAAGTTGCGGAGGATGATCCTGGAGACACTGCCTGGGACACCCACCGCCTGCTCTCCCCACCACCCTAAAGTGTCTTTCTGTTTTTGTTTTTCCCAGTATTTTTTTTTTGGTATCGGGAATCGAACTTGGGTCCTTGCGCTTGCACAGCAGATGGCGGAACCACTGAGCTAAATCCCCAGCCCACCATAAAGTATCTTATCAGACCCCCTGAACTACCTTGGTCACACCTGATGCCCTTGAATCCAGGGCTGCAGTAACAAGTGCCGGTGACATGGTCACAGGTGGCATTGTTCATGCACTCACACAGCTGCTGACATCCATAGCCAAAGGTTCCTGGGGCACATCCTGTGTGGCATAAAGAAGGTGGGTAGACAGTGAGAGACAGCCACTCCCTCCTGTCCATGGGAGACACCTATAGTGACTGCCAACAGTCCTCATGTGAGGACACAGGGCAGAGGAGGAGAGGCCCTCATCCCTGAGCAGCAACCTCCATGGGCCAGGCCCCAGGCAGGGTGCCATAGAGGCCTCAAGAAGCACAAGGACCTCCGCCCCTGCCCTGTCCCAACTGCAGGAGGAAGTTCCAGCACTCAGGTAGGCACAACCTTCAGTCTCGTTCCTTTGGAGCTGTCCCCAAGAGAAGAAGGGGGCACAGAGCCCTGCCTGAGTGCTCCTGTTGGCCAGTGGGCCTTCCGCTGCAGGAGGCTGAGCCCTGGCACCAACATCCAGGATGGCGCAGGCAACTTACTCTGTTCACAGTGGCGTCCAGTGAAGCCTGTGCGGCATGTGCACTTGCCACTGATGTGGTCACAGCTGGCGCCATTCTGACACTGGCACACACGCCCACAGTCCTTCCCAAAAAACGCTGCTGGGCAACCTGGAGAAACAAGACCTCTGGTCACAGGAGTTGCTGCAGGGCCAGCACAACTTCAGAGGGGCAGCCTGGACCCGTTCTGTGCCACCTCTGGTGCACCGTGGGGTGAAGGCTAGTGAGACTCTGCTCCAGCCGTTGCCGCCCCCTGGACCCTTTTGCTGAAGGGGTAGGACTAGGGGTAGGCGGTCCTTCCGACCAAGGGCCTTGGAACCAGAGGCCAGCTCGGGTCTCCTTGCTGCACAGCCACAGGCTGTCCCTCCCACTGTCCAGGAGGGCCTGGTCCTGGTGATCACTAGGAAACCTCACAGCCCTGGTCTTCCAAGACCCCATGCTTGACTCCAGCCCAGCTCTGGGGCGGAGCTCTCTCCTCCCCCGGTGGCAGGCCCAGGCTATGCCCACAGTGGCCAGTAGGCCACAGCACGGCTTTGGGAGTGGTGGGGAGGCAGGGCTTACGCTGCGTGCAGAAGAGTCCAGTCCAGCCTGGGGCGCAGTGGCAGGCTCCGTCCTCAGCGCGGCAGCTTGCCCCATTGTGGCAGCTGCAGGTGTGGAAGCAGGCAGAGCCCCAGAACCCGGGTGGGCATGCTGGGGGGGGGGTGCCGAGGGGTGGAGGGAACAGGACAGGAAGGGGGGAGTGCAAGTCAGAGCCAAGACCCAGATGGCTCTGGGTGACATTTCTTGGCCTCCGGGGTCTAATGCAGTTTTCAGATTTCCTTAGGTCACTCAGGATTCCCTAATATTAAGCACCGATTCTCTGGCACACTCAGAAATTTGGGGGACTAACTCAGCATGGCTCTGAGGCTCCTGGCCCTGCCCTCTGGGGACTGATGGAGTGGGGTGCACACTGTACTAACTTCCTCCAGTGGGTGGGTCCTTCTCGACTGCTGAGCCCCCTGAGGATGGAGCCCAAGTCTCCCCATCAGAACAGAATCCCCTCAGGCCAAGCCACCTAACTGGGGCCTCCCTGCAGGTACCAGCTGGTTCCACTGGTTCTCACCCATCAGACAAGGGGCTCCACCCTCAGATGGGCCTTCCTGGCCAGGCTGTACCTTTGCATCAGACTGGGTGCAGCTTACATGAATGGCCCCTGTGACTCCCTGCCCAGGCTTGAGGCCCAGGAGTTCAGCCATATGGGCCCCCCACAGAGTGCCTGCCTTCTTCCTAAGGTGATTTCCCTGGCCACCCTCACTGCCGCATCCAGACTCCAGCATGCAAACCCTTGTCCCCTCCTGCTCTGCATTGAAACTGGGTGGCTGCTCCTTGCTGGTGCTGATGGACTATTAAGTCCTAGTAAAAACGGCACTGGCAGCAATATCAGTGCCTTGATACCCGCAGTGAGCATTACCCAGGGTCAGCCCCAGACATTCATCGTGTAGGCCCTAGAGCTCACTGGGACTCAGGTGGGGATTCCTATCTGCAGAAGGAGGTGGAGGCACCGGGCAGACAGGGTTAGGGCATTCTCGGAGCAGCAGCTTACCCTGGGAGCAGTCCTTGCCGATCCATCCAGGGAAGCACTGGCAGGAGCCGTCCATGGGGCTGCAGGTCCCATTGTTGGCACATGAGCAGAGCTGGGCACAGTCCTGCCCAAAGTGCCCTCCAGCACACACTGTGGGCACAGGGCAACCTGGCACCTGCCCTCCTCCCCTCGTTTCTTAGACCATCACCCCTCCCCCACTGCACCCTGAGGTGCTTGGGCCAGAGCCATGACCACCCTGGGTCAGGAATCTGGACAGGAACTATACACGGGCATGCCCACCACCCTTCTCCATTTGCACATAAATGACTGTCCCCTTTCCTGTACCCTTTGCCTGAGGTCTATAGACGTACAGTCACTTAACAGAGGTCCCACAGAGAAAGTGGCAAGGTGGAGCATTTCACCCCTGGACTTGAGTCCAGTGCTCCCTGTGCTGTCCCCCCCACCCCACCCCACATCCCTGAGCCCACAGCCACGGGGTGGGCCACGCTCACAGCTGGGAGGAGGGGTTGAGATAGAGCACCACAGTTCCGCCTGCAGTGTGACTGTTGTCGGACTGGCTCTGAATGACCTGTCCTCCACTCTGCTGCCCAAGCCTCGCTTGGCATCCCCCTCCTCGAGGAAACCCATCTGGGTTCTAAAGGCCTCGTCCTCTGCTGAGCTTCCATGTTTCTACCTTGGGGTCAGCTGTAGGTGTCAGTCACAGTCCCTCTTGGAGAAGCTGTTCATGGATCCCTGGAGGAGGGGTGGGCTTCCTCACTCCTTTAGGACCGGGCATGAGCGTTAACAGAGCCCCCCCCCCATCTCTGGTTGCCTGCAGTCCATGCCCCACTGCTCCTACAGTGTGGGCTCTCTAAAGCGCTCCCTCTTGGTACTCCAGTGCTCTGCTCCAACACCCTCAATGGTTCCCCGTTGCCCCAGGATAAATCCCTGGACCGTAGAGTCCAGGACCTAACCTCCCTCACGTGAGTTATCTTTGGCAGCCTCTCACCTCCTTCCCAGATGCATGGTAACCACATACCATTTCCAAATGCACCCTGGGACTTGGTATGCTTATATGCACCTGGCACTGTTCAAAGTGCTTCATGACTATTAGTTGACTTACTCTTACAGTGCTCTTATATATTCTCACCATTACTTTCTACCATTAACTTGACAGATGAGGAAGCTGAAGCACCGAGAGGTTAAGCAACTGGTCCAAGGTCACACAGCCAGAAGTTCTATTGCTTAGTCCCTTTAAGCAAACCACATCACCAGGTGGGCTGCTGATGTGGGGGTCTGCAGGAGGCTAAGACCTTTCCCTCCCATCTGTACTTCAGGATCCTGCAAAGCAAGTCACCTGCCTCTCTGCTGCCTCTAGGATGTGCTTTATTTGGGAAACCCACCTCCAGTCCTGGCTCTCTATGGCCAGCAGGGTGCCAGAGCAGCTCTGTCTATCCCCCAGGCTAGCTCTGAGCCTCTAACAAGAACGTCATGTCTTTCAAGTCTTCCTCACACACACACAGCTGACAGATTCACCCACAGAGCTGCTAATGCGATCGGCCTCATATGTTAATTGATGTACTTCTTCGCCAAATCAAGAGTCAGTCAGAGAGAAGGGGCAGTAGAGAGAGAAAAGAGGGCTGGTGGAAAGAAAACATCTGCTTATATTTAATCTGTGTTTAATGGTTCTGGAGAAGCAGTGTCTGTAATTTGTAACTCACTGGAAAGCCAGTCATTAGAAAGTGTCAGCTCAATTTTTTACAAGGTTTGAGGCTTAACCAGGGCAGTTGCCATTAATAGCAAACTCTATTAGATCTATATGTGGAAAAGACTCATTAGGCCAGCGGGTGATAAATCAGACAGCACAGGACGAGAGAGCGACTCCATGGGCTGCCCGGGTCCTAATTTAGACCGAGCCTAACTGTATTGACGGCCGGGTCTCCTATGTTTAATAAGTAAACTTCCGCATGTCAGGTGATGATTAAACTGTCCTGAGAGGGCTGCAAGCAAATGAAACTGTCACCTACGTCTCCCGGGAGCCCATACATCTCATGACCTCAAAGCCTCACGGAGTAAACTTTCCACTCATACATATTAACGGCCCTCAGACCTAAACAGCCCAGCTCAGCAGTGATTATTCATCAAAAGAATGGGTTCCCCTGGGAGGTGGTGAGGGCTCTGTCAAGGAAAGTATTTAAGCAGAGGCCAGATGAGATTCTTGCCTGGGTGACCTTCACATTGCCTTTAGCTCTACGTTTACCTTATCCTAAAGATCCCTTTGCTCCTTATGGGTTCAAGTGTAAATTCCGCAAGCTGGAGGTCCAGGTCATATGCAAAGCTCTTTCTGAAGGCCCCAGTGCCCTTCTGGGCCCCTTGTGCCATCTCTGGCCACTGCATCCCTGTGCTGGGCCACAGCGCACCCCGGCTCTGAGCCTCAAGCAGGCTGGTTGTGCCACTTAGAACAGATGCCTTTCTCCTCCATCCGCACAGCCCCTGAGCCAGCCCCAGGTCCACACCGCCCTGGGGTTGGTGTGGCGCAGGACTCAGGCTGAGACAGGAGTTTGTGTGGCGAGGGATCAGGGATGCTGAGTTCGAGGGCAGGATGGGAGGCTGCGGTTTCCAGCCAGCCCCAGCACCGGCTCCTGCGGAGTCCCGTAGCCTTTACCACTGGGTGCCCCTTCTGGGCTGGGGCTCATCTGTGCTCAGTTCGTGTTCCTTCTCTATCATGGGCGTGGGAGCCGAACCTGTCTCCACCCCGCTCCGTGAGACCACCCACATCTCATGTCCCCGCTTTGTTCCCCTCATGTGGGTGCCGCTCAGGCTATGGAAAGAGACCTGCGCCCTGCAGCCGGAAGGAGCTGCCTCCACAGCAAGTCGTCCTGCGAGTCTCTCCCTCCAAGGCCCTCGTCCCCCACCCTGTCCCCTCCCCGACTGAGATAGTACCTTGGTTGCAGAGGGCTCCAGAGAACCCTGGCAGGCACTCACAGAGGCCGCTGACATGGTGGCAGGGTCCGCTGCTGTGCACGCAGAGGGGACAAGGCTGGGCGCAGCTGTGTCCATAGAAGCCAGGGGGACAGACTGGGGGTGGAGGGGAGACGGTGGTCAGCAGCCCAAGGGGCGCCAGCCAGCCTGGCCACCCCTGCCGTCCCACATTCTGAAAGTAAGTGTAGGGCGAGCCGCTCTTCCTCACACTGTGGAGGGCCCTTCCCTTTTGGAAGAGAGGAACTATGACCTGTGCCTGTTGCTATCAAGAAACGAGGCAAGCTGGGCCGTGAACTTGGAGACAGAGCAGCCAGCTCAGGGACAGAGGGGACTAGCAGGAGGGTTGAGCTGGACCTCCCTGGGTTCAGGACTGGCTCCAGCCGGGCAGGGTTGGGAGGACGAGCTGCTGAGGTCTTTGGGAGGGGGCTGACTCAGCCTTACTTCTCTGGCACAAGGGTCCTCGGAAGCCAGGGGCGCACTCGCAGCTTCCATCTTCAGGAGAGCAGGACCCGCCATTCTCACAGCTGCAGGACACGGAGCAGTTGGGGCCCCAGCGGCCAGGTGGACACGTGCTGTCGCAGCGGATACCTGTGGGGCAGAGGCAGACTGGGGTCAGAGGAGAGGATTTCAGGAAGGGTCTGATGCAGCACCAAGAGGGGATCCAGGAGGGCATCCAGGAAGCTGGGCGAGGAGGGCTTCCGGAAGAAGCAATGTCCAGACAGAAGCAGCAAGGCACTGGGTGGGCAAAGGAAGCCAGGCGTGCAAAGGGCAAGAGGCAGGAGAAAGAATCACATCTTGGAGAAATGACACAATCATGGTGTGGCCAAACGGTGAAGTGCTGCATGGGACTAAGCAAAAGAGGAGGCTGGAACTGAGACAGGACCAGGCGACAAAGGGCCTCTGCTGTCTTTACTACCTTAGCTGCCATCAAAAGCAGGCCTGAAAAATCTACTAGGGGCAAGTTAGTGACCTTAAAGTCAGGTGTGGTGGCACACGCCTATAATCCCAGCATTTGGGAGGCCGAGGCAGGAGGATTGCCATGAGTTTGAGGCCAGCCTGGACTACATAGCCGTCTCAAAAAACCAAAAACAAATTAACACACAAGTTAGTGCCCTTCTGGGGGCTGCAGGGGCTCAGAAAGTGAGTAGGGTCTTTTGACAGTCCTCAGGGCGATACCTATTTTATATCCCATGCATTTGTACACACAGATGTGTAACAGAAGCCAACTATTTTTTTTTTAATGGTACTTGTAATCCAACAAACTGATTGAAGGCCCCTCGGTTTAACAAAGAGCGGCCATAGGATAGTCGATGGAATACCTCAAAGAGACAGAGGAGTGCAATCTACAGATCCATCTCTTTTAACTCAGGTGGAGGAAATATGTGCAGGAGTGACTCAGCTTGCAGGCTAAGGAGGTCCCCTCCCCACGGGGGGGGGGTCTCTCAGGCTGATGTGTGTTAGGTGAATGGAACCCAGGGCCCGGGGGACTGGCTGGGTTTTTGGAAGAAGGTGAGTCTGAGAGGCTTGGAGAGGAGCAGAATTAACTTAAAAATCACATCTGCCTTGTTGTAAGCAGGGGATACTCAGGACCAGTGAACAGAGTCAGCCCCAGCCTAGCAGCGGGACCAATTTGGATGCAGGCTGGGATCACACAGGGCAGGCAAGAGAAGAGACTGGTACTGCCTGCTCCACACCGCTGTCCCTTGTTGTCTCCTGCCCCGAAATGTCTCTGTTTCCCAGCAGGGTGTCAGGTTCAGATGGCACTCTGGGAAGCAGGGGTGGGGCCTCTCCCCAGGGGGTGAGACCTCTTCTCAGTGAGAATCCACAGCCCCTCCTGTGGAGTTAGGGTGCCTGAGGGGAAGCTTGGATGAGCATCGTGGGTTAAGGGAGGCTAGGGAGGGGAAGCCACAGAGCGGTTCAGAGTTTGGGACACATCTTTAAGGCTCTCCTTTCCTAGTAAGTCAGCCCACGGCATCTGGCACAGCATCTGCCCATCCTCCAGTACAGGTTAAATTATCTCCGTTATAGTTCACAATTCAGTGTTGTTCTGCTGTATTGTTTAGGAAATGAGAAGTCTGCACACCTTCAATACAGATTTTTTTGTGTAGGCGAAAGGGTCTCGCTATGTAGCCCAGGCTGGCTTCAAACTCATGGCAGTCCTCCTGCCTCAGCCTCCCAAGTGCTGGAATTACAGGCATGCACCACCACAAGAATTCATTTTTAAAAACAGTATTTTCAATCTACCATTGATTGAGTCTTTGGGTGCAGACCCCAAGGGTGCACAACAGCCATGATCACCTAAGGAAATCTTTTGCGGTGGCTGTTGAAAACCGTGGATTGTGACCACAGGCAGAGGGACATGATGTGGCTGTCCCACGGGGCTCTGAGCTCCTGGGTGCTAAGTGGTCCCGGCAGCCTGACCAAGGCAGACAGGTCACCTAGCTATGACTGGGACCCGCTGATGACGATGCATACAACACACCAGGGAACACAGGGCCTCTCATTGCTGCTGTCGTGTTTCCCCCAGTCAGTGGCTGTTAAGAGCATAGCTAGCTGTTCCCGAGTGCGGGCGCCTCAGTGTGTTCATATAAAGGGGTCCTTTTTCTTAGAGATGGAGAACTGCAAAAGCACCCTGTTTCCATTCAGATTGCAGGTGGCTGCAAGGTCCCCTGGGTCCTAAGATCGGGCAGTTATTATATTCTGGGCCTGGTTCTGGGAGCCTGGGACTCCTGTCTAGAGTCCTTTTCTGTCCTGTGAGCTCCCTGCAGCTTAAGCCATTGGGATCTGAGTGGGAGGAAGAGTCAAGGGCTATGAGGAATGCCCAGTTCTAGACGGGACTTCTGGTATGATGGGAAAGGGGCTGGCCTTGGCCTTTGGGGAGTCTCCAGCTTCTGAAGTAGCAGCGTCACCATTACCTTCTCGGGTCCTGGTTCTCCTCATGGTTTAGTAGGGATACTAATCCCCTTTCCTTTCTGACCCTGTGGAATCCCCTCGATTTAGTTTGCAGGACCCCCCCCCACACACACACAATCTGTATTGGTGGATAAAGCTAAAGGTCTACACACTGTGATCTCTACTTCATGGCGTGAGGCCAGAAGCCTATATCCTTACTTTAGACGCCTCCTCCAGGCGGCCTTCCTGGATACCTGCCCAGGGATTCAAACATTAGTGTCATGGTCATGGCATACAGCTTTGTCCCTGTTACTTCAATGTTTCCTACACAGAAGCCTTTCTCCCCGCCAGCAGTGTGAAGGCAAGAACCATGGCTTACTGGCCCCCTGACCCTGCTTAACTAGGCGGGTGCTCCCCACGGGCAGATGCCACCATGGTCATCTTTGCATGATCCATAGTAGATGTTCAGCTCAGGACTGGATGGTGCTGAATTTTGCTGTTTACTGCTGAGCCTGGCCCAGTGCTGGGCAAAGTAGCTACCAAATAAAGACTCAGTGATGCTTGAATTAAGAAATACTAGCTCTCTGAATAAATGGATTCCTCATAAAATGCAATCCTGCGGCTCTCATCCTGATGCCACTTAGGTAAGTCCTGAGGCCTTGGGCAGCTCCCCTTCCTCACCTGGAGCGTAAGAAAGTTGGGGCAGATTTAAATCTCCACTTCCGGGGAAAGCCAACATCATTTAATAAGCACTGAGTGAGCACTTTTGTATGCGCAGGGCAAGTGAAGACAACATAATGCTCAGCAGCAGCAGCAGTGGCAACCTGCAGGAAGTAGGGGGCTTGCATATGGCCACAGTGAGCCAAGCCATGAGCTAGAGGGCCGGGGTGGGGAGGTCGCCACTGATACTTCTTGGGGTGCTGATTTAGTCATTTTCCTTGTCGTGGAGACACACGACCAACACCCACAACTCAGAAGAGAGGTTGATGTTGGCTCACAGTTTCAATCCCCGGTTGGCGGTCTCCAAGGCAAAGGGACCCGGCAGACAAAAAGCTGCTCCGTCAGGGCAGCCAGGACGTAAAGCAACAAGGGGAGGAGCCAGAGAACAAGAGGCTCGCTTCCGGGCCACACCCCCAAGGACCCACCTCCTCCCACGAGGCCCCACCTCCTAACAGCACATTCTGCTGTAAGTTCATCATTGGGATGAGTAGAGCACCCCATGATCCGTCATCTTCCAAAAGGCCCACCTCTGAACACAAGAGGCTTTGAGGGGGATATTCTAGATCTAAAGCGTGGAGGTGGGCGGTGAGTGGGAGGCGCGCGGTGGAAGGCCCAGGCCGCACCCCTCCCCGCCCTCCCTCCTTGGCCTCCTTCCGCTCCACAAACCTCAAGACACCAATCCCCTCTTTGAAAAGCCTGCAGGACCACCTTTGGGGAAATCGGCTTTAGAACAGCAGAGGCTGTGCTGAAAGGTTGTCCATCAAAGACAGAATTTTTAAGCAGCAGATGTCATTAAAATCTGATCAGCTCACTTGAAATTAAGGCAATGAAAACCTGAAGTGGATTCCCACCTGGCTCTTGCTGAGAGTGGAGGGTGACAGTGACCAGGCTCCAGCCACATTCTATACTGAGGGGAGGGAAGCTGAGCAGGAGATGCCTCGGAGGAATGTCCCTGGCCACAAAGAAATGTCCCTGGCCACAGAGGAATGTCCCTGGCCCTTACCTGCTTGGAAACTTTCCAGTTGTGGAGAACAGAAGCCACACAGCAGTTCAGTGTGAATTATTTATCTGAGGACTGACACTGGCAGTCACGACTACTACTTTACTACTTTCTCTTTGCGTCGCACCCCACCCTGGGCCTGGCCGGTGGGTCCATTCACACACTGTATTGTTACCCAGCACTTCCTGTATAGTGGCTTCCATGACTGAGCACTCAGTGTGCACTGGGCATTGTCCGTCAGCACTTTATGGTAGTAACCCATCTAAACTTCAATACCACCCTACAGTTGGTTGGGAGGATTATAACTGTCTGCATTTTGTGGATGGAGAAATCAGGCTCTGAGAGGCTAGAAGACTTGCCCAAGATCACAAGATCACTGGCCTGCTCCAGTTCTGTTCCTAACCAGCTTGTTATCCATATTGTAAGGGTGGCAGGCAGTGGACATAGTGGTAAATAAAGCAGATGCCTCCTGGGGCAGATGGTCAAGTTAGGGAGGCAGATGATAAACACTGAAATTAGAAGTCAAGGCCAGTTGTGCTAAGTTCTACAGAAGGACACGTGTAGAATAGCAGGAGATTAACAAACGGGCTTTTTAGCCTTGGTGGGCAGGTTTGTTTCAGGGGAGCCATTTCAGAAGCAGCCACCTTTAACCTGAAACCCATGGACAGGAAGGAGTTAGCAGGGCTGGGATGTGGCTCAGTGGTGAGGTGCTTGCCTCGTTTGACCCCTAGGACCACAGAAAGGGAGGAGTTGTGGAGGGGGGCAAAGAATGACTCAGGCAGAGGCGGGCATATGCAAAGGCCTGCAATCAGGACTGGTGAAAAGATAAATTCCACCCCTGGTGGCTGAGTCAGTGAGTGACAGAGGTGGCAGGAGAGGAAGGAGCTGGGCAGGGCCAGATCACAAGGGACCTGAGCCACAGATGTTCTGTGAGTCACAGGGAACCACCGAGGCATTTGGAGCAGGGTTGGCATGGACAGGTCTGGGTTCTTCGAGGTAGTGGCACATGAGAGATGCTGAGTGCTGGCCAGACCAGGAGGCAGCCCTGAGGGACTGAGGGGCTCCCCTGGCACTCAAATGCAACGAAGAACTGGAGCTCAGAGCAGAAAAAGGGAAATCTGCTCGCATCGGATTTAGAGAGCAAGAAGAAACATATTGAAGGAGCAGAGCGAGAGCCAGGACTCACGGGACCTGACGGAGAGGTTACCTGTCCATCCGGCCAGGCAGCAGCAGTGGCCTGTGACGGGATCACAGCCGTCGGCATGGCTGCAGTCACAGCGTTCGCTGCAGTTCAGCCCAAACGTGCCATCCTGTGGAGAAGGACGGAGAGGAAGGTGATCAGAATCTCCCGGAGTTTCATTCATACACTTGATGATGAAACTGAGCCCACCCACCTGCATTAACAGGAGTGTGAGGTTTGGAGCAAAGGAGGGGATGGTCCTGCCCTGCTTTTCTTTCTTTCTTTTTTTTTTTTTTATAGTACCGGGGATCAAACTCAGGACCTTTCGCTTGCCAGGCAGGTGCGTCAACACTGAGGTACATCCCCAGCCCCTGCCCTACTTTTCAATCCTTAGGCTCTGAGGGCCGTGGGTATCATGAGCTTAAATTTTAAGCTCATAATTTAAAAATGTACTTTACTGATCAGGACACATCTATCCCACGGGAGGAATGAGTGGTTAAGTTTTGTTACTGGGGAAGAAAATGGTGACCGCCATTTGCTATGTGCTCACAAAGGACCAATAGCCTGTATCCCTCATTTCTCAGGGTCTTCACAGCAATCTTTGACATGGTTCCTGGCTTTCCTGCTTTAAAGATGGGAAACAGCTGGAGAGCGGGAGTAACACACTCAAGGTGGCAGAATGCAGCAAAGGCAGGATGTGAACCCAGGACCTCAAGCCCATGGGCACTCATTCAGTTTCACATGGGTTGATTTCAAGACCGACGAGACCCAGGGATTAAGTGTGGGTGGATACTGCGGGATATCGTTCGGCTTCACCCCCCACCCTGATCATGGAAGCACAGACTTCAGGAACTGGAAGGACACAGAGCCCGGGCCACCACCCACCAAGGAGCCCGGGAGGGGCAGGATCCTGAGGCAAGTTGGGGCTCGCTGGAGCACCAGGGTCAGTTAACGCTTACCAAGGCAGGGGCAGAGGATAGGTAACACCTGGGTGCTTCATCTGCAAGCAGTTTGCTGCATTATAGGAGACTGGGCGGAGGCCCAAGTAGAAAAATGACCACGGGGGGTTAGGACCAGCCGTGACCCAACTCCAGGGGTCCCCACCTAGTCCTGGTGCTCTTCTCTGTGCATTCCTGAGCTCAGGTTAACCCCAGGGAGGGGGCACTCACCGGGCAGGGCAGGTCACAGGTGTCCCCCAGCCAGCCCGGGGTGCAGGTGCAGGCACCATCCGAAGGGCTGCAGGCTGCCCCGTTGGCGCAGGCGCAGGTCTCATTGCAGTTCAGGCCCCACATCCCGCTGGGACATGGCAGAGCGCAGTCCAGACCCTGCCATCCTGAGGGGAGGGAAGGGGCTGTCACCTCTGCAGGCCCAGCGAGGTCATCTGCCCCGACCCCACCAGAGCACTGCTTCCCTGGACAGGGTTGCAGCATCTGTTCCATGGCCCACTTGGAACCACATGTATCCCCTCAGGCTTGCCTGGGTCCTGCTGGGGACAGGGAACCAGCGCGGCTGGGGAGCCCCACAGCTGATCTCAGGGAGCTGTGCTTTCGGGACAGACCGACTCCCCATCCTGAGCCTGGTCACTGCCCTCTGCCCCCACACCCATTTCTCCTTGTGCCGTCCTCTACTCGGGGGCACTGGGGGTAACAGCTGGCATCACCTCCCTCTCCCTGCCCTGGGCCAGGCTTTTGGCAATAGCTGTGTCTCCTTGGAGGGCCTGCAGCACCCCAAAACCTCTCTGTCCTTGTCCAGCTCCGGGAACCTGGCCTGTTCCTCTGTCCCTTGCCCCTCGGAGTGGTGGCGACTCCTGCTGGTGCAACTGCTTGGATAGCTCACCCTCTCTGTGCCTGCAGCCACTCAGACACCCTGGTGAGGAATCCTGTACCGCACTCCTGCTACTGAGGTTCCGGGCTCCAGCTTCCTGCTGGGAGCCTAATAGAGGCTCCCACCCCTTCAGGTGGGCAGGAGCAGCCCCAGCTGAGACCCCTTAGCTGCCTGGACCTGGGCTGGGCTTGGGAGGGCACCTTACCTTCCTTGCAGGTACAGAAGCCGTCTATCGGGGAGCAGGTGCCACCGTTGTGACAGCTGCAGACGGATGAACAGTTGGGCCCATAGGTCCCCGAGGCACAGGACACAGCACAAACCTCTCCCTGGAGAGAGCGGCGTGGAGTGGGGTCAGAGGTGGGCCTGTGCTAGGCAAGATAATCATCCCCACCAAAGATGTCTGTGTCCCTGGTACCTGTAAATATGTCACCTTATGTAGCAAAGGGGACTTTGCAGGTGTGACTAAGGACCTCGAGGTGGGTAGAGTCGCTGGGATTATCCAGCCAGGCCCCTGCGGTGTGGCACTGCCAGTGAAGATGAGGACAGAAAGGACAGACGGGCCGAGTGCTCGCCCTGCTCCCATACCATTCACTGTGTCAACTTGGGCATCTGCTGCACTGGGCTGAGCGTCAGTCCTCAAATCTGTAAGATGGCAACAGTGCTGTCCCCACCCCATGGAACTATTAATAGGATTCAATTAGTTACTTGTGAAGCAGGTAGATCAGTGGCTGGTGGATACAAAGCACCATAAAAAGTTACTATTCATGCAAAGATATAGTTAGCACCTCTAATAAGGACAGTGGGCAAAACCCTCCAAGGTTTAAGCAGCAGGAGGCCTGGGGAGAGATCATTTCTCTATCAACAAGGCAGCCCAGAGGGAGGGGGTGGTGCCCTCAGGGCCAGCCTCTGTTGACTGACACCACAGCAAGCCAATAATGGATCTCTCTCAGGGAATCCCAGAACCCAGGGTCTGGTGCTCCCTCCTTGATTTGGGGACCCTTAACGGGCCTTATCCAAGATGGGTTGTGGGGTGTCTGAATCTGCATGGTCTGTGTCCACACAGGCTTAGGCAGTCTGTCCACACACTTGTGTTTCTCTATGCTGTTTGTCTCTGTTGTATCTGGATTTTGTTTTTGAGGTACTGGGGATTGAACCTCAGGGCTTTCATAATGAGCTATATCCTCAGCCCTTTTTACTTTGAGACTTGGTCTTGCTAAGTCACTGCCTAGGCTGGGCTCAAACTTGTAATCCTCCTTCCTCAGGCTCCCAAAGTGCTGGGATTGTAGACATGCACCACCTCTCTCAGCTTCTGCTGTATGTTTACCCATGTGTGCAGATTTAGGTGCACATCTGTGATTCAGTCCTCTCCCTTTGGTGTCTTCCCTGACGCTGTCCCCCAGCCCTGCCCTGGTGGGACTTGGGGTGCAGGAATCACAGCCGCCATCCTAACACACCAAGGGCTGGGCCGACTCACAGGCCTGCCCCTGTCCACCCGGGGCCATGAGCTGGGGAGGTGGGTCTGACTGACTCACAGCTACTCTTCAGCCTCAGGATCCCACTGGTACATGACGGGCCCTCCATAAGCGCTGCCTCACTGAAACAAGCTGTTTGTGTGCACACACCGGCTTCTACTGTGGCCAGAACCAGATGGGCCGGGCACCTGCCATATGCTTCCGGCCCATTTGACAGATGTTTTCTGATTGGGACCAAAAGGAGCCAGGCCTGCCGAAAGCTCCAGGCACGCAGAAGGGCCTTGGGTTTACTGTCCACTAATTTACTGTCTGCCTCCCCAGCGAGACTGGTGGCTTCATGAGACCAGAGACCTGGTCTCTCTGGGTTGCGCCAGCACTGCAGCTCAGAAGCTGGCACTGAGAATGGGAATTCTGTGCACAATGCTAAGGACTACATGAGGGACCCTGCTAGGCTGGGCCCCATGACTCACTGCACACAGGAAGCAGCATCCTGCCTGGCCGGAACCCACCCTCCCATGGCTCTGAGCTTCCCGGGGGCTCTTGGGAAAAGGGAAATTCAGGCCAGATCCTGGGCCGTGATTCCATGTCCGCTGGGCACCCCCTGCCCAACTCTGCCCAGTCAGAGAAGCATCCCATTGGCCTCATTCACTCAGGGTGCCCAGACCCTGTGAGCGAACAGGACCTTGGTGATCATCCCGAGTGGCCCCGGGGGACTGGCTGCAGAACTGTGCCTTATCCCCCCAGCTCCAGCCCAGTACCTGACCCAAACTGGCCCTGCACTCACATCTGCTGATCTCATCACAATCTGGGGGAAAGGACTGGATGCCAGCCGGGGTTGTGACCTGAGACCAGAGGTGAAGCTGTGGACTCAGCCCCTGGCACCTGCACCCCCACCCCCAAACCCCCTCCCCAGCCAGGCCTGGTCCCAAACTGAGCCCCGTGATCCAAGATGACACCAGGAGTCCCACAAAACTTCCTGCCAGGAGGTGGTCCTGTCTTCCAGCAGATGTGAGTGAACGCTAGGTAATATCGGAGCTTTAGCTCCTTTATTAGTCAGCCTTACCCACTTCTCACCAGCCAGGGCCCTCCGAGCACCCTCCACCTTCAGAGCGTCTCACTTTGAAACACACTGCTGCTGCTTTTCTGCACTGGCACCCGGGCCCAGTCAAGTATCGGACAGGTGCAGTTTGGCCAGTGACCACAATCCTTGTGACTGTGGTGGCAGCGTTGCGTGCACCAACCATGACCCGGAAATCCCTGTGATGTCACCTGTGACCAATCAGAGCTTCTGATCGGCTCACACTCACCTGGCGTAGCACACAGAGCTAATTTAAGTCTAATTAAAAGCAAAAGAAAACCCCTGGTGTTTTAGTTAGCCCAGGCATGGGTAATGAAGGATTTCCTGTAAGTCTGGGGAATGTTCAAAACTGCTCTTGGCAATGCGCTGTCGATTTTGCAGGTGTCTGGCTGGGGACCAGCAGCTGCATGAATCCTAAGGGCTCTTTAGTTCTCTCAGCAGCTTCCTGCCTGGAGTGGGGTCCTTAACCCAGAGGAGAGCGGGGTGACAAGGACGTGGCCCAGGGAGGGGGCGTCCTCCTGGGCCTCTAAGATACCAGCTGTGTGGCCACAACTCTGCTAATTCACAGCTTGGTCCTGGTCACACTGCCCTGGCCATGGGGGATCCCACGGTCCCTCTACTGAACAGGCGAGGCAGAGAGAGGCAAGTGACTTGTCCACGACCACACGGCTGATGCAAGGCAGAGGTAGATTTGGAACTTGAATCAGCTGCTGGCCCCCACTTCCAACACCAGATGCTAACTGCCCAGACGGGACATTCAGGGCTGGACTCAGCACCTGAGGCAGTAGGACATCCAGACACTATGGCCTGTGTCTTTTTTAAGTTTATCAGTACATTTTAGGTATACAACACAGTTACATTCACCATTGGGATCTTGTACCTTTACATGATGTATTTTGGTTCTTATTTTCTCCCCCATTCCCCGGCCCTCCCTTCACGCCCTCTACCCCTCCCTATTTACAAAGACTTTGTTTCCATTTTTTTTTCTTTTCTCATATTTTTTCCTTTCCCTTCTTTCCTTTTCCCTACCCCTCCCATTTCTCCTACCTCTTTAGACCTTTTCTTCCTATTTCACATTATCAGTTATACATTTTGATCCTTATTTACACTTTTAGTTTCTCACACCAGAGAAACTATTCAGTACTTACACGTGTGTCCTATTTATTTCACTTGACAGCCTGTGTCTTGAAGGGCCCTGACCCTTTTTCTGCACCTGGAAGTTGAGACCTGGGTGGTTTCTTTGTTTGAGACAAGGTTTTGTGATACAGCCAGGCTGGCCTCAAACTCCCTTTGTAATCTAGGTTGGCCCTGAACTCTCAACCCTCCTGCCTCAGCCTTCCCTGCACCACCATGCCCGAGCTGGGGGTCTCTGTACCCTCATCCGTCCCCACCTCTGCTGGGGGCAGCCTGCCAGTCCCGCTCTGCATCTTCATTCTGTCAGCAGGAGCCGGATGTGAACTCTTCTTCCTACCCAACGGCCTGTTAATTATAGATGCGGCATCGGGTATTAACATCCTGAACCTGATCTAAAAGAGCTGCTGGCTGGCAGCGGCAGCGGAAGGGAACCCTGCGAGCTCCAGAGAGGAAAACCTCTGCTCCGCCCTCCCCCAGCCTCTCCGCCTAGTGAGGACCAGACCCCCGTGGGGAATGAGCTCTATGTTCTAGTACATTTATTTCCAATGTTGTTTATTCAATTTTCTCCCTGCAATACACTGCTTTGTAGTTTGGCCCTGTTTGGAAAAATTAATCAACAGCTGGGCTTCTCGTGTGGATCATGAGTTTTCCTTGCAGTGAGTGCGAGGTTAATGAGGATGGGGGGCGGGGGGAGGAAAGGTGGCTGACCTTCCCTCGAACGAAAGGAGGCGGTGAGGATGGAAGCTTATCTCCCGACTCCCTAAATATTCTCTCCAGGTGGAAGGCAGCACCACCCGAGCAGACCCGGCCCTTCAGATCCACTCGGAGGTCATGTGCACCGTGGGCCTGCTGCCTGCTGGAGCCCAACAGAGACCCCTCCTGGTGGAATGGTTCAGGCATGAAAGAGTCCTGGGCTCTGGCTCAGAGTACTTTTTTCTCTGTTTTAAAATAAGGTCTTCCTAAATTGCCCAGATGGCCTTTAACTCATGATCCTCCTGCCTCAGCCTCCCGAGTAGCTGGGATTATGGGTGTGTGCCACCACAACCAGATATTAGTTTTGTTTTTGTTTGTGAGTCTGGGTCTCCTTATGCAGTTAAGGCTGGTCTTGAACTCACAGTGGTTCTCCTGTCTCAGCCTAAGTAATGCCATTACAGGCATGCACCACTGTGCCTACACACCCAGATAAATAAATGGGTTTAAGGCCCAGGATTGTAAGACCCTCATCTCAAAATAAATATTTTTTAAAAGCTGGGGATGGAGCTCAGTGTGAAGGCCCTGGGTTCAATCCCTAACACCATCCCTCATCCCCAAAAAGTGGCCTGAGGTGCCGGACCTCATCCATCTGTCCACTCAGTGTAGCACCATTAGCCGAGCTCCTATGCTAGTCCAGGTACCAACAAGCCTGGTGTTTAACTGTAGGCTGGAGACTGTTTAGGGCCCCTTCCTGCTCCCCTGACCCCCACCTCCAAGGCAGGTGTCCTCACATAATCGTGTTTTAGAAACCCGGCCCTGACTCGCTGTGTCGTCAGCACAGAGGGTAAGGCTGGTGGGTAGCTCTGCCCAGGCCCCAGCACGCACGCACCGTGAGCAGGACGGGCCTTGTCTCCGCCCAGGGGTTCAGGAGTACAGGCACTTCCTGACT